TTGCTATGTTCTTATTCTTGCAGTCGTCTCTGGAGTTTGACTTTGGCCTTTGATGTTAAACGTGGTTTTAATTTATTTCTACAAGGGGATTGTTTTTGTCTATCCTTTTGGAGCTTATTGGGATAGCTAACTGTGAGGATTGGCTTCTTGTACTGATGTTAGAGACTTCTTGGGGGCATCTCGGCATCCCTCTTCATCCTGGTGTCTTCTGGGCTCTAATGGCCGCACAGGATCAGATCCACCTTCCTTAAATGGTGCTTCTTAGGCTTTTATTATAGAATAAGTCACACATGGGCTTGGGAGGATGAGGCACTGGTTGGCTCAGCAGTGAAGGGTCCACAAAGGTGATGAGGGAGGGGCAGAAAAGGCTACCTGAGCCTTCAGTTTTGTGACGTCCACTGTAGTTGCCCCGCCCACTGAGATCCGTGTTCCAAGATGGGAACAGAGTCAGAAGGCGTGGTGGCAGCTGATGGCCATGGAGCGCTGTTAGCTCTTTCCTTTCTCACTATCAGAAGGAAGGGTATTGTCACCCACTCCACCGGGCTATAGAGGGAGATACTGAATGAGGAGGGGAGGGAAAGCATGCTAGACAGCTGGGCACCACTCTGCAGTGCCTAGAATCCCCACTCTGTCCATCATGACGGCAGGCATTCTGTCCCAGAAGTTACCATCACCTCAAATGCCAGCACGAAGGGCATTTCCAATGCAGCTACAGGCCTCTACAGTTTCAAGATGTACTAACTAAAGAACAAACACCTTACCACGGTCCTTAATGGTTGCGGCAGACACATCGGAATGCCACTTCTCCCACTCACTCTCAGTGATCCTTGTCAAGAGGATCTCTCAGACTATCCTCTTCCGTGATGTGAGGCTGATGGCCCTGAGGTCCACTTCACAGGCTGGTTCAAGGTGCAGGTTAGAGCACAGGGCTGGTGAGAGTGTCGAGTCAGGATGGAGTACAGGGACGTACTCTGTCAATGCCCTCATGCTGCCGTTCTCTTGTTTGCTCGTTCTCAGCACTCCTTTAAATAATGGGGATGCTGAGTAAGGGATGCCTTGGAAGCTGAAGATGAGGTAGGAGATTCACACCCAGGAGGGTAGCTTTGAAGTTCACTATGGACAGTCCTGACTTAGGATGCTCTTGTGCACCAAGACAGACTACTGGGAATTTTGATCCTTTTATGAACTAGTGACAGACGATCCATATTCTCTTATGCTGGGTAGCAGCAATGAGCTGCAGCTCCCCAACAGTCCTTCAGTCCTTAGGGGAAGGAGCTGACATTAGTGCAGCGTGACCACATGGAATGTTCCCTAGGTTAGGGGTATTCATATAGTTTTCAACTTCAGATGCTTTCAACTTATAATGGCTTTATCGGGGGACATGACTCCATGTAAACTGAGATCACCTGTGATTTTCTCCAGAGGAAACTAATTCCCTCTAGGTGTGATTGTACTGATGCAAGGGAAGTGACAGAAACATAGACATGAGGGACCAAGCGGTCCACCCCATTGCTCACTTGTCTGTCCAGGCTCTGTGTGCCTTCTGCATCACTGTGTGTGCCAGGACATGGTGCTGTCTCCCTTTTTTATTTCTGAAACCACACCTGACTGATGCTTACAGGATGCAAAGGTGCCTAGACAAGGCTATGGAGCAGAAAACTGGATGCCAAAGATCCATGATGGACACAAAGCTGCTGAGTGGCTATTCTAGAGAAATGGACATGAAGGCCACTCTAGAGAAATAGACTGCAGGCACTTTCTAAGGCTGCACAGTGGCCATCTGAGAGAAGTGGATGTAAAGGTAGATGGGCACTTCACAAGGCTTCGGCGTACAGAGAGTTGTACTGGACTATGATGGGCATGGTGCCACAGAGTTTCTGCAGTTCTGGACTGTGTCTTGGAGTCTTAAGAGCACAGAAAACATCCAGAATCCTAAGTAAACCTAGCCTAAGTGGCATGCAGGAACTGAAGGAGACAGGGTTGGCAGGTGAGTGGATTGCTACATAAGAGTCAATTTGAAGCATTGCTTAAAAATGGGGCCTGGAAAAGGTGCATGTTCTCATCCAGACAAGGCACATTCAGACCTAAGGAATGACTCCCTGATAGTTTCCATGTCTGATTTGTGGGTCTGCATATTCAGGTAAGTAATTAAGTAGCTAAATGATAAATACCACTGCAGTTGAGATAAACTTTGTATTCAATTGCAATACAAAGCAATTCACATTTTCTAATAGCCATATTTGCATTCTAAGAAATTTAAGCTTTACAAAAATCTTCCCTAGTACTTGGCCCAGATAAAAATCATCCTGGCCTTCATTACCCATGTCACTGAATGGTCATTTTATTTTTCTTTTATGTGGATGACCTAAAGTCTTCAATTTTGTATGTGATAGAAAGGCACTTTTAGAAGTTGCATTTTTTGCTCACGAATTACATAATCTTGCCATAGGAAATAAACTAACACCCATAGGAAAAGCCGTTTTGTGATGAATAGCCAAGATACTAGATCCTTCTTGCTGTTCTAAGGAGATACCTTAGAATGGGCAATTTGTCAACAACATAAATTTGCTGCTCCCAGACATGGAAGCCGGATGTCTAAGATCAAGGTGCCAGAAAGTTGTGTGTGGTAAGGGACCAGCTCATTTTCCAGAATGGCACCTCAAATGCTATGTCCTTACATGCTAAAAGAGATAAAAGGGGAAGTCAGTTCCTTGGATGCTTTATAAGTGCATCAATCACTCATGAGGCAGCACCTCAAAGACCCAAGTAGTTCATGGAGACCTTGCCTCCTAATACTAACACCTTTGGGATTAGGTTTGAATATATGAATGTCAAAAAGACATATACATCCAAATCACATCATCAAGTACTTCAGATCTCACAGCACACAGGAGGTAATAGCAATGGCTGTATACTAGTTTAAATTAAGCTGCAATAATCTATAAATCTAAAATATCTATAAGATATCCTGAGAAATCTCTAAGACTGACACGGAATCAACTGGAAAAACCAACCATGTTCTGTCTCTTGCACACATGCCTCACGGGTCTGAAATATGCTCCACCACCTCCAGTGTCTACACTGCCCAAGGAACGGAGAGCCTTGGTTTCCTACAGAAAACCCACAAGACACCCTCAGGTCGTCCTTGAACATCTGGCTTTGCTGGGTAAGCACTGATAAGCCTGAATCTAGTTCTCCAACAGCCTTCGAGAGGGGTACTAATGCTTCCCTTTCAGTCTAGGGCTTCAGTGAATCCCAAAAGCCTGCCTTTCAAGTCTCCATCAGAACATGTCTTTCTACATGGGTGGAAATGCCTGCTCAGCATCACAGGAAGACTAGGCCATACTGGAAGTTATTTCCTGGCCCTGCCTGATCCCTTCATTCATTTCTATAACCCACCCACAATGGTCCCCCTTGTCTGTAATGAGGTCATAGGGTCTACTTCTACTTAGCATTGCCAACTGAAGACAGAAGGAGCAGAGCCGCAGTGGTATAGTCTGCTCGGGGTGAACATGCTGGTGGGTGCCTAAAGACCCACAGCCTTGCCATATAAGTAGTCAAGGGCACATGTGTCTGCTATGATGATCAGAGAGTGAGACACTATGAATTCAGACATAGCAGTACTGGCCAGTCTATAACCAGGAACCACAAAACGTGGCCTTGTGGGTACAGTCATGCCTGGGCAGGGATTTTTCAACCCGTGTTTCTCTATTGTTTGTGTGTTGCTTTATCAAAAGGAAAAAAAAAACTAGCATGTATTATTTTTCACTACAGGAATTTCCATGCAACAACAGTGAATCCATATTTCAGATACTCAGTTAATTTTTGAGACCCCCTTGTGCCCTGCCTGCAAATGTTTCCCTGACACACATCTATCTCCGGCCCCACTCAAAAGCCAAGGTCTACCTAAGAATGGGAGCATGGCTAGTTCCCCTGCCAGTGCAGGAGTATCTCAGGGCGCTGAGCAGTGCACACATGGAGTGTCCTAGAGGGAGCTGCTAAACCCAGCAGCTGTTCAAACCAGGTTCAGAAGAGGTAGCTCTGGCTGGAAATACAGTTATGTGGTAGAGTATTTGACTGGCATGCTTGAGGTCCCAACGCTATGAGGCTGGCCATCTTTCCACCCTCCCGCTTTCTTCCCTCTCTCTCATCTTCCCCAGCAGCTCCCAGAATAGCCCTACCCTCCAGCATCTCTAAGGTCCCTGAAGAATGACCTTCGCTCATGGTCAGTGTCACCGTCACTCAAGTGGCCCCTGGTCTTCCTTTTGTACTCAGCTCTCCACTGGAGGTGAGTCAAGAGGCAGACTCAGACTCCCTCTGTCCCCACAGGCTCCATCGGGAGGTTTTTAATCTTCCAAAGACAGACCACACACTCATACTGTCACACCACCAGGAGATATCTGACCTAGGCCAAGGAACAGGTGAGAGGTCCGGCTAGAGAGGCTTAGGTTCAAGCCCAGGAGTCCACTTCCACATTCGGCATCTTACTAACTATGGAGGAAGCAAAAGCCCTTTTTTCTCTCTCTCAGCACTTAGGCCTTATACATGGATAAAATCCATGCTTCAATTTGGGCTCTTCGAAGGGCAAGTTTGGCTTGCCCAGGTACATTTTAGGCCTTTTTAGGACACCTTTGCAGAATAGTCTGATGATGTCACCCGACTTAAGTGCATAGGAAGTGCCTTGCCCACCCAGGCCACAGGTGGTAAGCTACAACATGTAGCACCCACATTGTGGGGGTGGGTAGGACCATAAAAGGCTAGGCCCGTGTGTGGGAGGGAAGCCCTGGACTGTAGCAATTTGACATCAGGCCAAGTCCTCAACACAAGCAAGAATTAGTGCTAAGAGGTTAAAAAGTTATCCAACAACAGACGTCAGAGACACGGAGAAAACTGATTAATATTATTGTGTAATATTAATATTAGTAGCAATTGACAGCAACATGCAGGAAGGTACACAATAATGAAGAGAAGGCTAGGAGAAAGACAGAGTGAAAACTCACATCTGGGTGGGGGATGGCGTACTGTCCCTGGATTGTGTAGGCCTGGAGAAGAGAGGGAGAAAGAGAGAGACAGTCAGCTTGGGATGTGGCAGGACCTCGGCTTGTCAGCCACTGGTGACCCGCCCCAGTATGATAAGAACCTTCTGGGGACAGTGTTCTCCATCAGTGTACATCTCCACCTGCCCCTGTTTGCTTAAGATGGAATCGGGGAGTCTCAATTACAACTGGGAGTCCTGGGAAGCTGCCCTCTCCCTGAGCTGTGGCCAGCTACTGTTTCTAACCCCGATTTCCTCAAACTTTCTTAAAATTGTAAACCTACAGATAACCCATTTAACCCCCCAGTAAGAGGGCCACTGGTTATCAGCCATCAGAGCAGATACTTATGGGGCAAGATTTAGCCTCTGAGATATTCAAATGACAACAGAAGTTTTCAAAGTGACCAGAACAAGTTTTGCCAGAGCTGTACAGACTCAGTCATAGGACTGACCTAGTTTGTTTGCATTACCGAATTTTACACCGTCTCTTCACATAGGGAGCACCCCTCTCTGAGGGCCAGCGTGGTCTCCCCAAGGCTCCTTAGCTTCGTCATTTCCCTTGCTTCACATCTGTGGCTGTGCCAAGCACAGGAGCTCCCCAGCCTCACCCTGAGACCCCAGGGAGAACAGAGCCCTCAACAGTCCCTTCAGCTATGATGCCCTTCGGCAACCCAGACATCAGACAGACAACACAGTCAAGGGAGGGTAAGACGACAGACAACTGTCTGGCTTCGGACAGGGCTATGCCATCCTGGCGGAGGCACAGATGTAAGGGCATGGCTTCCATCCCCTGGCTGGTCTAGACCTGTGACCACCCTTGAGGGCTCTGGGCATCTGAGAGGGTTACTTCTGGGGATCATGTGTCACTTCTATGGACCCAGACCCCTCCCACAATTCTTTTTTAAATGTGCTAAGAGTTCTTGTCACAACCAAACTCAGGAGCTCCAAGCCATGTGACCACCTAACAGGGACCCAGCCATGGGGCAGCTTTGAAATAGACACAATTCCAGCAAAAACAAAGTCTGTTCTGGGCCATCCTGGCTGTGCTAGCAGAGGAAGAAAAAGAACCTGAGAAGATACAGCAGTTTCAGGGAGAAAGAGACAAGTAACTGCTCTGTGGAGTGGGACTGGGATGCAGTCTTGGCTTTTGGAAAACTGTTGCCAGGAATGATCTCCCAGGTGTTACTGAGGGAGCATCACTCGGGGAAGGGACATGCTATCATCCTGGCCGGGCCTGTTGCTCTCCCAGTCCTGCATGTCTGAGCGGAACCCAGGAGCTCAGCCTAGGTGACAGTTGGTTCTGGGTTAGTGTCTAGCAGCTTGCCCTCCTTGACATGGTTGTCATGTGTCTCAGTACGGTCTGCCTGGGGAGTTCAGTTTGGCCAGTAAGTAACAGCGGCTGCAGAGTCAGCTGCTGAGGAGTCTAGGTCTCGCCATCTCTCCTACCTTAAGTGTCAGAGACCTAGGCAGCCTCTTCTGGGATCTACCCCAAGTCTTGGACACGTGGGGTGGAATCCTGGAGGGAGACCTACCCAGAGCTAATTTACATATTTACTTCTGAGTTTGTATTTTGGCTTTCCTATTAGATTGCTTCCTCGCAGGATGACTCTCATATGAGTCTGTCCCCTACGTATAGCTAAGGCAATCAAGGCCAGACCAGACAGTTCCAAGGGAATGGTGATGTGTTTTAAAAGGCTAACACTATCAGGGATAAATATAATAGCACAGTGACCTTCACTGCTGTGACTGGAGTAGTGGGTACTAGTGACTGTTTTATAGCTAAATGGGGCCCAGTGATCCTGGTCATGATCTGTCCTGTAGTGGTTCTGCCCTTGGAATTGGGGCTGTGACTCCATGCCACATAGTTTTCATTCGGATAGGGGCCTTCTGAATAAAATTCCACATTTCATTCTATGGAGCTATTGTGGATTTGACAGAGAGATATAGTTCACACTGGTTACTGATCTGTCAGCTAGCCATGAGTCTGGGGAGAACAATGGAGACGCAGCTTTGCTGGGCTTGGCAATGGGCTATGTGAACATATCTCTGATGTCAGCATGGTCTGAAGTACTGCCCTGAGCCTCAGTGGCTATGAGGCTGGCAAGACCTGCTGTACAGTGGAATGTGTCACATGCTGGGTCTGTATCAGAGCACAGGACTCTGTCAACAGCGGGGCAGATCTGAGTCAGGAGACTGTGTGTGTGCATGCACGCATGCACATGCACACATACGTACATATGTAAAATAAGGGAGCTGGGACGGAGATGGGGCAACAGGTCTGACCTACACATGCTCCACATGCTCCTGCTGTTCTGCAGAAAGATACAGTAAGACTCCTTTATAATGTGAGAAAGACAAGAAAATGGTTCTCTATGCCTTTCTTTCTCTTTTTGAGCACTAAAGTAAAACCCTGTGTCTATTCTGCCAGCTGGGTCACCTATGGGTCTCTGACTTAACTCTCCCTTGAACAAAGACACACATTGCGGCCGACGGGACACAGAGCTCTTCTGGGCACACCCCTGGCTGTCCGTGTTCAAGTCATCTGTGTGGATGGGTCTCATGGACATAATAAGGTGGGCACCCGAGCTTTGGTGAGCATGTAAGGATGTCAGAAAGGGGCCTTCTCCAGTCTCTCTCCCCTTCCTGGCCAGCGCTGCCCACAGAATAAGCCGTTCCCCATTCTACCTTCCATCCCCTTTCTCTAGGCCACAGATGTCAGCCACTAAATCCTCAAGGATGGGTTTGTAAATGTGGTCTCTGCCTGGAAGGATGTCTACTCAGGCAGACAAGGGATAGCAGGGATGAGCCCAGCCACAGTGGGACATGGGCGAGCCTGAGGTCATTCATCTCCTCACAGGGAGGTACCTGCCACTCCCTGAGTATATGGTAAGGTCTTGGATGTGCTTTAGGAAAATGGAACCCTGGTTCCCATAGCTCTAGAGGATTCAAACACAAGCCATGGTCACCCAGAATGTTTCTGCCCACTAACTACCGAAGCGGCCCAGCGACATCCACAGAGGAGGTTTGGCAGGCATTATTGGGCAACACCTAAATTTGCCTGGGCCTGCAGGTCTCTCCTGTCTCAGTCAGGGATCTCACTGGGGAATGTGTTCAAGGGATGCAGCTGTGAGCTACAGTTGTGCCCCCCCAGCCCCCCCCCCACTGCCTGGTGTGAGCCGGAGAGCTCTGTGTCCATCGCGGGGTGGGAGACGTGCACGTGAGAAGGCGAGAAAACCTGAGTGCACTAACGGGCAGCGGCGGGTGCTGCAGTAAAAGGCTGAGGTTGGCAGTGGAGGCCGCGAGCGGGTCGGCTCTTACCTGACCACCTGCAAAAATGACAGGGGTGGAGGCGGGCTTTGGGCGGTAGGGAATGGTGGCACCTTTCGGTGGGGACTAGGAAAAGGGACAGGAGAGGGAGAGAGCGGTTAGAACAGCTTTGCGGGTAGCCTGGGGCTGCCTTCCCACCCCCACCCCCTCTGTGGGACCCCCAGCCCTTTAGGTGTGGCCAGCAAAGGCTCCAGAGGCCACAACAGTGAGGGGAGGGGACACCCAGGGACATCAAAAGGAGATGACCCTGCTGCCCTCAGCACACTGAGGCAGGCCGATTCTCCATCTTCACTGCCTTCTTCCTTGGGACGGACATTTCTTTCCCCAGGCCTGCACCAACTGCTCCCATCCTCAATAGACCCCGTGGCTAGCCAGGCAGGAGCCGGGCACCACCGGTGTGCCAAGGGAGGTGGGCCACCTGCTTGCTGGGAAGGGACTGCCAGCAGCTGTCCCCACAGGCTGTGCATGCCACCCTCTCTGCTGCCACCCTCTCCTCCTTGCATGGTCCCACGGGGGTCCGAAGGTAGACATGGCAGTGACTTCACGGAGGAGCAGCTTGCATCCTCTGATAGAAAATACTCGAGTCCCTGGAAAATGCCAACCTTGAGCACAACTGACATCGGGAACTGATGTCGAGCAAGCCAAGTTCTCTGCTTATCCTATAGCAGTGGTCATTAGAGCGGCTTAGAATCCTTCTGTTTCACCAGTGAAAAAATTAGGGAGCTCCCAGAGGTCAAATGAGATCCCACAATGACGAAGTCTGCTATAATTTTCTTTGACTACCCTTGGGTCCAGATATAGGCTTTCTCTTAGCAATGGGGCCATTGTTTTTAGCAGGTGCTTTGTTACAGCAACAACTATCTCACAGGCCAACCCTGCAAGGACAATGACCACAGCGTACCAGAGCCTCTGAGAGTGTGACCTTGGAGTATTTCTTAGCCTGAAGCTGACAGTAGTTGGTGAAGGACGCAGTCTGAGCTGGCCCTTGGGAATGCCCATATTCCCCATCGCTGGGGTCCTAAAAAATGCCTCCTAGAGGCTCTGTGCAAACCTGGCTTGCTGAGAAAGCTTGCTGAGGCTTCCCGGACAGACGGCAGGTCTGTGGTACAGGATTATGCCAAGAGCTCCCATGTGTCCAGCACGTACCATAGCTGTACATTGCTTCTGCCAAGTACTCCAGATACTAGCAGCATCATTACCTGTGCTCCAGGCTGCTTCCCTCCCGACACGGGAGCCCCTGTGCCCAGTCAGAAGGCCCAGTTTCATTTTCACCCACCCACAGAAGAGTGACCTTCTGGGCTTAGACCGTCAACATCCGCAGGTAGGCAAGGCACGCAGGCTGTTCTCGAGGGTGCAGGAGGCACCAGAGTTGGAGGTAGGAGGTCCATAAAGGCAACGCTTGCTTTCGTTGTAGACTTCACCCAAGTACATTTGCCAGGGTACACTCCTTAAGCAAGCTTGAAAGGCCTTTGATTGACAAGTAGAGTCTAGGATCCATCTTTTGCCTTTTCCTAGCTGTTCTTTGGGTAGAAATGAGGCTGTTTTCACTGTGAGGTCTTCTTTCCTGGTGAGCGGGTCACTCCCTTCAGCTTCTGGAAACCGCATCACGAAAAGGAGAATAGGGTGTCTCTGTCAGGTCAGTCTCCACTGCTGACATCCACAGTGTGCGTGGCCATGGTTTCTCTTACACTGTCTAGAGACGTGAGTTCTGACACACCGCCCCAGACGTTGGTCCCACTCTTGAGCCTGGAAGTCTGCCAGGAACTTCTGACAAGGACACATATTCTGTCCTGAGCAGTGGGCAGTTGGGCCCCGAGGTCCACTGTAGAACCGACCGGTACCATCACTCACTGCCACTGAGCTCGGCACGTGCTTCTCACTGCTTGGTGCAGGTGTTAGTACAAAGAGTTATGATCCCCAGCCTCTGGGCTCCTGTGATGGGACCATCCTATCTCCCGACCAGTGTATGGGGAAAACTGAATGACAATAACACTTTGAAAAATATCTTTACCTTCACAAAAAATTCTTTAGGGAAACAAAACTATGCAAACGTTTAAAAAAAAAAAAAGAGTTAAATGTGAGGTTTGACCATAATGTCAGTTACACAGAGCAGATGACCCAGCAGCTGATTAGTGGAGTTAGTTCTGTGGAGACGTGGTAGTGGCCTCGGCTTGGGCTACGGGAGGACAGAGGTCAGCAGTGCTCCAAACGGTGAGAGGTCCTCTTTGGGGAAGGGTCACAGAAGGAGCTTGAGGGAAGACCACAGCGCAGAAGCTGCTGTGAAGTCTGCTTCACCCTTGCCTGGAACTCAAGGAGGCTGTGTCTGCCCACCGGCTCCTCCTTTCTTCCGTCTTACCCCTCGGTTCCCACATCTTTCTTTTCACATTGTATTTTCCTGGGTCTGTCCAAGTCCTACCGTCAGTACAGGACAGTTGTTCTCTTCAAGTCTGCAGACCTATAGGCCTGTCGTGCTGGATGGCCTGACAGGCAGGAGACTTCCTCTTCCACTTCACCACGCCTGCCTCTGTCTGGTCAGAGTGGTCACCACTTCCAAGGCTGAAACCTCATGATCTGCCCCCCCCCCATGCTCTCCCACTCACATCCAGACAATGCCCACAGGCTACCATCAGGTGACACTTTTCAGGGTGTCCCTTCAGCTCATGCCTGCACCCCAAGTGACTACATGACTCCTCAGGTCAACCGAAGCACACGAGCCCTTAGTGACAAAGCTAGAGTCACACAGAGTGAGCTCGGCAATGAGCAAGGCAGGCAGGCGACATGTGTTGGCCCACGACGTTCATACTGTACCTCCAGCATGACCACACAGATCTGCTTCACACACTGGATGATGGCATCTGGGGTCCCTGAGATAGTCACTGCCCGCTCTGTGGAGTTGGGCAGCATGTCACCCGCCACCTGGACCTGAGCACCTGTGGACTGCAGAGAAGGGCCGTTGGAAGGAGAACAGTAGATTGTGAGCAGGGACACGTACAGAAGGAACAGCACTTCCAGCTCGAGGATGCATTCAGGGTGGTCTACACCATGAAAACCCTTCATTAGAAACAGGGCCTCAGCTGGTCACAGTGCCCTCCCCCATCTTACCACCCAGATGTCACTTTCCTGTCTCCTCTCCCTTCAATCTGCCTCTGCACACCTCTGACTTAGTGAGCTCTGACTTCCATCTCATCCAGTGTGTTGGACAGGAGGCCCTGAATCTGTAGAGGAATGTCTACTGGGAAACAGGAGTGCTCTTTCTAGCACCGAGAATTCTTCCTCTGTGGAAGTAGGTCACATGGAGGTCAGGAAGCCTGAGTCTGGGACATGCCTGATCTTGATGTCTGGCTACCACATACATTAAATGACTACTTGGGTCCTCAGGACAAGTGAGGCACACAAACCTTAGTGACAATGTCAGGGAGTCACATGCACAACGAACCTGGCATTTTCTAAGTCACAGAAGAGGACAGGAAGAAATCAAGAAAGGGTAGCTGCCCTCCTGCTTAAGAGAAGGACTTGGGCCAGGCAGTGGTGGTGCACACCTTTAATCCCAGCACTCGGGAGGCAGAGATGGATGGATCTCTGCGAGTTCGAGGACAGCCTGATCTACAAAGGGAGTTCGAGGACAGCCAGAGCTACACAGAGAAACATTGTCTCAAAAAACCGAAAGAGCGAGAGACGGAGGGAGAAAGACTTAGCCTTCCTTAAGGTAAATGTTCTCAATGTCAAACCCACATCAGGTTCAGGCTCTTTTAGTGTCATCCCAGGAGGCGGGACCTGATGGACAAAAGGGCATCTCTCAGGCAGAGTGTGCCTGGAGCCACACAACTTGGATGCTAAAACCTGCCTGTCCAAGGACCTCCAGCCCATCTTTGTTCTTGTCCTTGGCAAAGCAGGGCTACTCTTGGCATAGGTCACGGTGTGCACGTGTGCATGTGGCAAGGTTCCCCACGTCCCATTTTTCACTGGTGAACTGGACTGTCTGTCATGTTTGCACACCAGCTTTGAGCCTTCGGGCTCTGCAGGGTCAGTGCGCACACTTACAGACGGTGTGGGAAACATGCAATAAGGATGGGCAGTACCTCCCGGATTTCCTTGATCTTAGAGCCACCTTTCCCGATCAAGGACCCGCACTGGCTGGCAGGCACCACTAGTCGCAATGTCACTGGGGGCTTGCTGGTGGCAGGGCTGTTGCTCATGGAATTAATGATGTCCTAGGGAGAAGAAAACAGGCATGTTGGACTCATATTAGTGAGGTGCAGCGGTGTGGCTTAGGAACACTGTGAGGGCATGTATGCAGCATCTGCCTCTACCTGCTTCAATGTACACTGGGAAGAATGCCAGGAGCCTCCCCCACACAGAGAAGGGACTCAGAATGTGGACCTGACAACCATGGGAACTTCAGAGCCAGGCCAGGCTTAAAGGAACAGGAGATATGGGCCATATGGCTATATGTGCCAATTACACACATGGATTCAGAAGGCTGAATGGTCAGTGAGTCATAGGGGACTCAGGACAGGGTATAGGTTAAGAAGACACATGATCAGGTCTGACCTCAGCATGAAAATCTACTGGATATGAGGACTTCGACAGACAGATGTGTGAGGTAGATTTGCCTGGGGTCAGTGAAGAGCAGGTGGAAGGGGGGTACCCCCAAGGCGCGTTAATAGCTGGTCAGATGGAATTGGGAGAGTCCAAGGCCTGTTTACAAGAAAACTCAGAGGAGCCTCTGCATCAGGGGGCCCGATTACAGAGGAGGCAGCCCGATTTGGTGTAAAGAAGCTGAGACCAATATACACCACTATCCTGGGGAGCCACATCCAAACCTCTGGAGTGTGGCCAGAACTTGACCTATCTTCCTCATGTCTATCTCCACTTTCTAATTCCCAACTATGCAGAAAGAACAAAAACAAAACAACCCCTCCCTTTTCCTGGGTGATCACCAGGGAGCCTGGCTTCTGGTTAGTCACTGCTCCGGCCCAGACACTTCATCTGCTGCACCAGGGAAAGGGGCTGACCCCTTGCCCACCCAGCTTTGCACACACTGCTTCAGGGGCTCCATTTGGACAGTGTGCTCATCTCTCTGCATTTCCCCTTGTCCTGGACCCAGCCTCTACCCAGGTCGAGTACCCAGAGGCCTCTGTGCCTGCTGCTCAGCTCTGCATCTAGACCCACCCCCTTGGGATTGAGCTCTTCTGGTCGTCCCCAGCCTGGGGGCTGATTTTGGATGCCGTCTATGGGTAGACTTGGGGCATGACCTCATCCCTATGGTGGCTTTGGTGTGACTGCTATGTGCTAGGTTGTCATCGACTAGAAAAGACTGGCTAGCATTTGAAAACATTAGAGACAGATGAGGGCACTTTCAGGCCATGCATCACCTTTTTAGCAAATGAGAAAGGAAGACTTGGCTCAAGCCCTCTGAACCACTCCCAATGGGTTTTATACATGGTTTCCTGTCTCCTGGAGTGAGGGTGTTTTAGCTATTATATGTGTGTTTCAGGAGGTAACAGAAGCATTTCCTTGCAGAAAGCTATAGCCCTTAAAGTTGCTAAAAATGGCTTGGTTTTATTTAGTTTGGGAGCATACCAACTTTTATACCAAATGTCAGGGACCATGCTTTAGAGGAGTCAGTTCTTAAGAACTCTGGAGGGAGTGACCTGTTATCAACACAGCCTCATTACTGCAGTGGTCTGGGGAGCTGACAGGATCACTGGTAATTAAAATTACCAACACCTTCAGGGCTTGGGGTATAGTTCAGTGATGGCATGTACTTAGAATGTGCAAGTTCTCAGCTTGATACCTGGCACAAAGCATAAACCAAGTTTCCAGGATGCCTTGAGATCCTTAGGCCAAAGACAAATCACCAATTCTATGGCCACACTGCCCACTACTTGTAGATACTTTTTTCTTGTGACTGGTCAGCCTGAGTTTAGGGATTTCATGCTGACACCACACTCTGTCCTGCTACAGGCAAAGGTGACAACATACTATGAGATGGCTCAGGCTGCCCTGTCTACCACCACCAGGCTGAGGCAGTTTCCCAAGCACCTCTTTATAACCTACCACCAGGAGGCGCTGTCTCCTCATGAAAGTGGCTCTGGAGCCTCATGGAAGGGACCAAATAGGACATTTAAAAAAACGCAGCAATGAACCCCCAGAGAGCTGATGCTTAAGCCTTCTACATGTTTCACAGCTCAAACCACAATCTGGTATTCCATATAGTAGAAAAGTAGTTCCAGAAGATCTCAGAGATCCTCTAGGATCAGCAAGAGAGAGCTAAACAGACAACCACAGGAAGCCAGGAACTGGGAATGGTGGACTGTCTCCTCTGGAGATAGCATTCCAACTTCCTTATCTAATTCATCTGCTGTGGTTTCCATCTGGAATGTCCCCACCCCCCCAAGGTCTACATGTTAAAGGCTTGGCTTCCAGCCCGTGCTGGGAGATGTGATGGTTAATTTTGACTGTCAACTCGACAGGATCTAGAATCACTTTGGAGACAGAACTCTGAGTGTATCTGTGAGGAGGTGTCTAGGTTAGCTTAACTGAAGTGAGAAGACTCACTCTAAATGTGAGCATCACCAGGGTCCGTCTAAATGTGAACATCACCAGGGTCCGTCTAAAGGTGAGCATCACCGGGGTCCCTCTAAAGGTGAGCATCACCAGGGTGACTCTAACAGCAGCATCCATCTCTTCTTTGACTGTAGATGTACTGTGACCAGGTGCCCAAGCTTCTGCTGCCATGCCTCCCCTGCCATGATGGACGGTGCCCTTGAACTATAAGTCAGAATACACCCTTGCTCCCTTTAGTTGACTTTCATCAGGTATTTTGCCACAGCAACAAGAAAAGTAACTAATATGGGAGGCGATGGAACTTTAGGAGGCGGGCCTTAGTGGGTGGCTTAGTATTATTGGGGGCGTGTCCCTGAAGGGAAGTGTGGGATTTGAGTCTCTTCCTTCTCTTTTTATTTGCATCTTGGCTATGGGGTAAATGGTTTTGTTCTAGCACATGTTCCCCGCCATGTTATGATGAAACCCCAACAAGCTGACTTCTAAAGCAATGGTCACACTAAATGGTGCATGAACCCTCTAGAACTAGGAGCCTTGTAAGCCTTTTCTTTTTAAGTTGATCTGTCTTCGGCAGTCATCACTGTAACGGAAAACTGTCCAGTGAACGTTGGTTTTGAGGAGTGGGGCTATTGCGGACTGCCTTCATAATGCAATGGAGGCTTCAGAACTGTTTTAGGACAGGAGTCTGGAGAACCAGTCTAGAAATGGCATGGGATGACGGAGGTGGAGCTTGAACGCGATTCCGGTGGCATCAATGTGGCCGGGACGGGCACACTAACAGACTCTACTGGGAATTAAAGTAAAGGCTATGGACTTAAGGGGACAGAGCAGTCACAGGACAGCATGGGTAACACTGGCTGCTCTTAGCCAGATTCATAGTGAGAATCGGGAGTAAAAATGAAGAGCAGGGTGAGGTGCAACTCAGCGGTAGAGCGCTTGCCAGGCGTCCTCAGGACCCTGGCTCAACTTCCTAGTGCTGAAGAGAGGAAAACCAAACAACAAGCAACAAGAGACTGTGAAAAGTGGCAACGTTCCAGAGAAGGAGCGTGTTCACAGGCCCAGCAGAGGGTGACACAGTGGCCAGAGAGATTTAACCGCCACTAAATCGAAGCCAAGTTCTTCGAGTCAGGGCAACAGCAAAGATGCCTGGAAGAAATAGAATCATTAGCATGGCCACTTTCATCACAGGCTCCGAGGTGCAGAAGTGCCAATTTATCTCAAACACTTTCCAGGGCAGAGTCTTTAAGAAGAGAGGCCCAGAGGTACCTTGCTCATCCAGGACTACCTAAGCCAGGAGAGTACTTAGAAGTCCTGAAGTTGTGTCCAAGTGACAAAGAAAAGGTGAGTCCACATCCCTGGACACTGGACAGGTTTAAAGCACCTTCTAAACTGGTTTGTTTTGTTTTTGTTTTTCCTGGATCTCATTCTGTAGACCAGGCTGGCCTCGAACTCACAGAGATCCACCTGGCTCTGCCTCCTGAGTGCTGGGATTAAAGGTGTGCACCACTACCGCCCGGCTAAACTGTTTTTTAAATTACTGCTAGTATTAGCAATGAGTTCTACAAGTCTATTGTAAGCATTCTTTTTAAAGTCTATCAGTAGGGATATGAAATTTTAGTTCCATAATTAGAAGCTATTGAACTTTTTCTCTTGCTATCTGAGCTGCCTTAAGCAAAAAGGACTATCGGTCAAACAGCTATCTAGCTACCCTTGTATCTGCATCAGCCATCTGAACACACATGGACACTGATACAGCTAACGAGAGGAACTGCAGCCGATTGCCCTGGCTCTTGAAGGAGTAGCCCTAGCCAGGGCTGTTTGAATAGCTGTAGCTGACCTTTTGTAATCACAAGCCCGGAGAAACTACTTGTAACTTGGCCAGAGGGAGTGCACTCTCCCTGGGGAGGTAATCTTCTATTATCATTAGTGGCAAGGCCGTGATTAGTTCCAAATACAAACCTTAAAAACTGTGATTGGTCCCAAACTGCTGTGATTAGCCAAACAAATGATTGTGATTGGTCCAAGCCCCCCTTTCAGGTTCTTAAACAGGTAGCTCCAGCTTACTCAGGGACTCAGCTGAGAGTCTCCTGGGTTGCCTCCCCTGGTGTTGGAACATCAGGTCCAGCAAAGACTTGCCGTGAGTAGTCATCCCTTGCCTACTTTTACTAGTGCAGGCTAAGCTACCAACACGAAGAAGACGACAGCGGAGAGCAGAGCATGGGGACAGTGGTGAGGACGGCAATGGGCACAGCTTGACAACTGAGCAAACGCTGGCCTGCAGCTTAGAAAAGCACTGGCTTGATCCCCTGGGCTCCACACGAACCCAATCTCACCGGTACCCTGTGTACCACTCAGCAACTCAGTAACTTTAGGTCTGTGAGTGACATGTGAATCTGAGAGCGTAGCGCTGCCACAGACACCCTGCCCAACACCACACATAGACACAACAGTCTTTGATGCTAAGCTCCTAAACAGCCCTATTTGTGACAGGCGCCTGGTTCCTGAGCCCTAGGTGCTGGTTTCTCGGTGCTAAATGCCTGAAACTACCGCTTGGTAGTTGAAGCAGCAGCTACTTTTGGAGGCCTGGGACTCATTCCTTGGCAGCACCCACTGGGTTGAATCTGTCTGGTGGCATCAGTGTAGCTAGCACCTTGCTACCCAAGGATCCCGCCCCTATGAGGGAGGGATGCCCATGATTAAGTGATCCCAGAGGCACCCAGAGTCCAGTTCCTGAACAGCCCTCCAAACACTCTGGTTCCAGAGCAGCGGCAGGGGCTGCAGCTGCATCCTGGCTCCTGAATGCTGACCCAGTGTACCCCAAGGCTTGTCAGGAGCTACTGATGACTGAAGCAGCAGATGAAGTTGGAGAATGACCATGGAAGGAAGAAGAAAGGAAGCATAAATGAGCAGACTGGAGGGGGCAGCTGAAGACAGAGGCGGCGCTAGAGCAGAGAACCTGCGGGTCTCGGTTATTAAAAGACTTCCAGAGAACTGTTAAGTCTTCAGGACCATGGAACCTCAGTCCCCAGGCTGAGAACTGTAACACTGACTGCTGCCAATAGCTAAAGGTCCTGACACCTGAAGCTGACATGGGGACTGTAACAATTGTAGGGTTAAGTGTTCCAAAGCAGGACTGTGATACTAGAGTTAGCCGCTTGTTTCCGCTTCTACCTGACTACTGCCTCCGGTCACTGCTACCAAGTGATGAAGGTCACTGAAGCTGTTGGAGGCGAGCATCTGAAGCATCTCGCCTCCCTGTGATCTCTTCCCAGCTACAGCAAAAGACCCCTGAGTACACTGGATGGCAACATAAGGGGCCTACACATAAGGGGGCTCATGCTGGCAGCAGTCACTGGTGGTGGAGGCAGGAAACATGAAAGAACTCTAGGCCATGGGGGTTTCCATCAGACTTTCAAAGGCAAGTCTGGAAGCCCAGGCAGTATGGAGTAGGCACGGTCTGCCTTAGTTACTTTCCTATTGCTGTGATAAACACCATGACCCCAAGCAACTTGGGGAGGAAAGGGTTTCCTCCAGCTTCTAACTCTCAAGTCACACTCCATCACCGAGGGAAGTCAAGGCAGGAATTCCAGGCAGGTGCTGATGCAGAGGCCAAAGTCTGCTTTCTTAAACAACTCAGGGCCACCTGCCTGGGGATGGCACCGCCCACAATGAGCTTGGCCCTCCCACATCAACCAAATCAAGAAAATGCTCCCACAGACTTGACTACAGACCAATCTGAGAGAGGCATTTTCTTAGTTGAGGTTCCCACTTTCCAAATGACTTTGGCAAAAACCAAAACCAACAAATCCAGTCCTAGTATTTTGTTACTTCCAGTATTTTGTTACTCATGCCCTACTACAGAGTAAGCTTTGGATGCCAGACATATAACTACAGGATTTAATGCTTTCCCTGCTAGGTTTTGGGGGTTTTTGTTTTTAATGTGTATGAGGTGTTTTGTTTTGTTTTTGATTTCCTCCCAGTTCCTGCCTTCAGGAATGTTTAGAATGGGAATGTCTACACGGTACCATTGTATCTTGAGTATGCAACTTGTTTTGTGATTTCTGTAAGGGTTCACAGCACTTTGCCTTTGTCCTCTGAGATTCAGGCTTCTGATGAATGTTGTAATAGTTATGCTTTGGGAGTTAGACTGAATGCATTTTGTATTGTAAGACGGATCTCAGCCTTCATTGATCTCCTCCAAATGGCCATGTGTTAAGGGCCTAGTCCTCAGTTGACACTACTGAGAGGCGGTACAAACCTAAGATGGGCCTTGTGAAGATTTTAGCTCATCAGAAGTATGCTATCACAGGGCACTGTGGGATCCTGGCCACGAGGTGGATGGTTTTTCTATGTAGTGTGCTCCTACTATAATATATGGCCCACTTCCAACAGAAGCCTAAAAGCAGCGGACCTGCCTCACCATAGGCTACAAACCCTGGAACTGTGAGCTGAAATAAGCCATTTTGCTTTCTAATGGATAACTCGGGTCTATCACACTGACAGAAAGCTGACCAGTGTATCATGCCTCCTCTCATTTTCAAACGGGCCCCGTTGTCATCCACTCATAATATGCCTTCCTCCCTCATCTCTTCTCTTATTTTATGAAAACAGGATAGAAAATACTTACCCAATACCATTCTTAGATGATCCTAAACAGTAGCCATAACCCTTGACCTCCCAGACTACCACGATTCCAAGAGCATGGAATAAAACTGGTGAATTTGGTTTCATGCAGTGAGACATAGGGAACTACAGCAATGGTGTTTGCACACAGTGACATGGACATCAATGCCTCGACTTGTTGACCTTCCTTCTAAGAAAGCAATCATGACAGTTCATCAATCAGGTCATTCTAAACCTTTCATGCAGCAACAGAAGAGACTGCAAATCCAAGTCATGATGCTGCCCCCGGAGCTGCATCCAGACCTGTCCCAAGCAGCCACTCTTCTCTGGCTTCCAGGTGCCTCTGCCAGACGTCATTGGTCCCATTTGTCTCAGACTGATTCTCAGGCACTTTGGGAAAGGACCCTGAGACTTGTCTGGCGATGGACCCTTAACTCTTCAATCCTCATGCCAGCTACTTCAGGGCAAGGCCAGCGTATCACTCAGCCTTCTTGTGCTAATCACTAACCCCCTGCCCAGAGAACCACCATGCAGAGCCCCCACCCCGCCCCATGACAGGCTGTATAGGAGAAAAGATTGCGTGAATCCTCACTGCTTCTGGCAGAGGTGACTAATGGCATCTGAACCCTAGATGTTTGGTGGACTGTCCCCACCCACTGGCATAAGCATGGCAGCTTACTCGAGACTTCTTGCAGGCTGGTAATGGGAGCATCTGTGCTGTTGTGACTATGTCCTGCTATGCTGGGACCGAAGAGCAACTATGCGACATCTCAAGGAGGGACCTATCAGCTCAGTCCCTGGGTGGTTCTCTTGGCCTGGGTTGGGCACCAGAGCTCTTGGATTCAAAGCACCTCTCAGGAACTGTAAACAGCTTCTGCTTCTGTCACGGTAGCCATGTGCTTTCTAATAGTACTCTACATGTCCTATGCAATCACGCACTCAGTACATGACACAGAACAAAAAGATCAAGGTGATCTTGCAACACTGGTGGCCACCAAGACAGCTGAGCCCTGCATAATGAACATCTGCTCTTAAGCCTTCCCTCGTTGGCTAGCTTCTTACAAGGGCACAAGAGAAATGCAGCATGCAAACCAGTGATGGCCAGGCCATGGGTGCCATGAGAATGGCCCATACCTCTATATAGCAGCTTCTGTGGCTTCAACTCAGGATGGGTAAAGCTTGGGTACCCATAGTTTCCCTAAGACTTGCTCCCAATTCTAAGTCAGGGACCACCAGAGAAAGCAAATTCTTGCTCTCACGACTCTTGCAAGAAACCTGGCTGCCAGGGAGTCAGTCATCTCTAGTTCTCCTACCCACAGCCATCCATAGGGCATACCTAAAATCTTCCCTCTGCCCCAGTGACAAATGAACTCTGTATATGCAGTCTGCTTGTTCTCATTTAGAGGGGTCTTTTCTTAAATCCACAAAGCCCACCTCAAAATCTGACCATTACCCCTCATTTATGACAGAAAAAAAGTGAGTTTGATCATCATATGTGCATAAACATTAAACGGAGACATTAACGACATGAAGAGTAGCTCACTGAGAGCACACAGAAGTATCACATATCCATGTATATGTGTACATCTCCCAACATGAAAATATACTTCTACCTCCAGCTAAGACACTATCAACTCGCTAGGGAGGAGGGCTGCTGCAGGGTGTAGCCGAGACCAGAGTCGGCCAGTTGGGGCTTTGTCCGGGGCCATGTGGCACACAGAGCAGGGGGACTCTGAAGGTACAAGTACAGCCTGAGACATAAGAGCAGCCATGTGTCTGATGGGAAGCCTGGGAAACATAAAGGAGGTGGCCTTCTCCACTAGGCACATGTAGAAGTGGTCAACCTTACGAATAAGAAAGGGTGCTGACCCTCCAGCTGGACAGAAGCAGGGATGAATACCTGGAGTACTGAAGGTGTAGAAAATTCCTAAGGTAGCCTGGTCACAAAGCAAGCCAATTCCTCAGCCGACTGAGACAAACAGATGGATGGGCGCAGGAGCCAGCTGGAACCGGCCTCATGCAGGTGCCAGCCTGTGCCTTACCTCCTCAAACTTGTATGCTATCATAGCAAAGGCCTTGAAGATGGCATCAGTCGGGCCTGTGATGGTGACAATTCTCTCCGGGCAGTTTCCCTCCGAGATGTTGATCCTGGCACCACTCTACGGTGGGAGAAGAGGAAACGCAGCTGGCAGGAGGGAAAAGCGGTCCTGGGCAGGCCTGGCTTCTCTAGGCTTGCCGACGACCTCAGGCAGACACTAGTGCTGAGATGTGCTTGAAAAATCTCATTCTACACAGGGAGGTCCTTGCCAGAAATCCCCATCCAAGTGGAATTTGTAAGGTTTTATTGTTGTTTTTTAAAACAGGGTCTTGTGTAACCACACTGGCCTTGAACTCCCTGTGCAGTGGAGAATGGCACTAAACTTCTGTCCTTTTGTCTCTGTCTCCTTGGTGCCATCATGCCCTACCAGAGTAGGATTTGAGTTAGTCACCGAGTCCCAGTGATTCCTAGAACATACGCCCTCTGCAGCTGAACACTGCATGCATATGTAGCATGTCAGACAGGATTGCCCCTCTTTGCCTTGCATCCCTGACACATGGGCAGGTCCAAAAGAGCCACAGGCAGTGCCACACCCGCCTGGCCAACCTAACCTGGGGTTAGGGTGACTCTAGAGTAAAGTATACTCACCTCTTCACGCATCTTCTTCACTGTTTCTCCTTTCTGGAATGGAGACACAGAGAAGGAAGTCTGTCACTGCCAGGTGCATGTGAGCTGCTACCTGCCTCTAGTCTACTCCCGGTCCTTGCCTGCCCCTGTGAGTTAACTGGTCTCTTTACCCACTGGGCCACACAATCCTGGGGTAACTCAGATGAAGAAATGAAGGTATGGGAAGGGAGGTATAGTCACCCAGTGGTAAAGCTGGCCATTTTGGGCAGGCTTTGATCAGACTCAGACATATTTTCATGACAGCACCACAAATATGGTATCAGGGTGAGTCTATGGCCAGGGGATGCCCAGCAGGGGTTAAGCCTGGTTCAAACACCTTTTCATGAGTGGTGATATCCTGAGAAGCCCTTTCCAAAGAAATATTAAGAAAGAGTTGGGACACTGAGCAATCAGAAGTTCCCCTATACTATACAGGTGCAGGGTTACCAGAGATGACCAAAATACAGCATGCTGGGAGGGCAGTGCCTGGCCCCCCAGCCGCGCTCTCTCACACAGGCTTCTCATTGGTCCTTTCTCCATGGAAACACCTTTTGCTTTCAGTGTATAAAGAGGTGTTACTAATCTCCCGAAGGTTGTTCTGATTACAGGAGTCCTGACGAGTGCAAGCACGTGACACTTCCTGGGGTCTGAAGCCCAGATGTACCAGTCACAGAGATGTTAAGAATAAGCTTCACAGTGACCAGCTGGGGCCCTGCCAGCACCCAGGAAGAATGTTCCCTGCATGGTTCACCCAGAGCCAAGAACGAGAGTCACGGTACTGTTGTTCAAACAGGGAAGGGTGCGGACAGGGCTGCCAGGGCAGAGCTCCTTGGGACCCTGACTTCCTCTAGCATAGTGTGCCTGCTAGGGGCTGTGTGCCTGCTGAGGCCAGTCAGCTCCAGGGGCTACTGCTACCTTTGTCTATGTCACCTTATAGAGAAAGGCAGAGTTCACTCAATAATTACCTTCCCAATGATGCTTCCAACTTCCTGTAGGAGAAATCAAGAAAGAAAGATGATGTCACAGAACATTCTGGGGCTGAGGCTTCAAGAAACAGTCTATCTGACACGAGGGGGAATTAAGGTTTTCACAGTGTTGGGGTGGAACCAGGACCTTGTGTATACCAGACAGGTACTCTCCACTGAGCTGCACACCTGTCCCAAAGGAGAGCTGAAACTCTGGTCAAGACGATGTGTCTAGGTTGTGCTGTCCAGCTCCTCTGTGCCTAGCTGACCAGGGCTGATGAGGGACAGAGCTGAGCTTCATCAACAAACTTCCTGGGATGAGGGACTCACCCATGCACTTAAGGAAACCCTGCCGCAGACGGACAGGAAGGAAATAAGGCCTCAGCTGCTGTGGCTTGCTTTACAACCTAGGACATTGGAGAAGCCCCCGGCACAGCCCCACCATCCTGCGGCTGTGCTTCAATGCCTGCGGGGTGTATGATCACCTGTCCCAGCCCGCAGGACACCCCAGCAAGGCTCTACCATACTGGGTCACTTGGGCCCGGGCCAGCCTGCCTTCCCACCAAGGGAAATAACCTCTTCCAAAGTGTGCCCTGCTTTTCTCACTGTAACCAAGCCCTCCGAAATCCATGTGGAAGGTGTGGTGTGGGTTCAGGAAACAAGTGGAGGGCGTGGTCAGCTCCAGCCCTTGTCATAGGAACTAGAGGCCAATCAGTAGAGACTCTCATGTGGGAATGTGCTACGAGAAGGAAAGAACACTCGCCACCACAGAAAAGGGATGTCTGGGTGCAAGAGGACATGCTTCCTGGGAAGCTGGATGTCCTACAACTGTTGTTCTAGTGGCCAGCCCGGGCAGAAAATCTTAGACAGAAGCTGGGAGCTAGATTTCTCGGGGGAGAAGTAGAGAGCACAGCACCAGCCTTGTCTTGCTGGGCTGGGCGGGAAGGCATGACCACTGGTTATACCGGCCAGCACCGCCTACAGGCCACAGGCACTGGGGCACTGAGTCACAGGTGTGAGTGAGGTCAGCCGGTCTCGAGCAGCTCTAAGGAAAGTATGATTTGGAGTGCACGTGCAACCCCTTTGTCGGTTCGAGATTGTGTAGAATAAGGAGTACAGAGCAAAGCCCTGGCGGACAGTGCCGTCCTCTGCCGCACGTTACCTTTCCATGCATCAGTAGGCGGATGGTCAGGGTTACGTTCAGGCCACCTTCTGAGACCTTAGATTCCATCTTTCCTCCAAAATGTAGCTCAGGGTGGTGGCTTAAGGTGCTGAGGGTGCTGTGAGGAAGGATGGATGGGGCCCAGATGGCGTCACCTGCAACAAGAAGGCACAGCTGTGACCAAGGGTACTTACTCTTCTTTGGACCTAGAACCATGTTCTGGCCCCCAGGGGAGTGGGTGTGCCACTGTCACCACCACAGGAGAAGCCCAGAGTTGGGTCCTAACCATGTGGCCCTGTACAGGTCACTTAAGCCCTCCAGACTCAGTTTCCTCAGTCATAAAGGATGCCTCTCTTGGAATCCAGACAGCCAGAGGCGCTCTAGGGAAAGCCAGTGCTGGGCTACCCAGCCTGGTGAGTCCCAACTCCTCTAGGGTACCATGACCCACCCCGCCCCCTCGAGAGCCCCTCTTTTCTACGGCTATCTAGAAAGGCTCCTGTACTCATGTCCCTGCAGGCCCAGTTATCAGCACCCTTCCCCAAGGTGACCTCAGTGTCTGGCTGCTGACGAGCTGCCGTTCTCCCACTGAAGCCAACCTGCGCCCTCTGCACAGTGCTGCTCTGTGCCGCTCACAGGCTTCCTGAGGATAACCTCTAGCAGCTAGCTTCACGGGATAAATGAAGGCTTTAGCTTATTATCTGCAGGCAAAGAGAGATTACAGGTGCAAGAGTGTTTGTGGGAAAGTGACAAGATGAGTGTGTGCCAACATGGGTGCCCTGGGATCAGGCCTTCCTGGTGAGTAGCTCTTGCCACGGAGTTCTCCACAGGTTCTGGGCCAGCACTTTATGAGAGAGCAAGCAAGCAAGAAGCTGGCTCACCCCCATGCTGGAAATACCACAATGCTAGTGAGGCTGGCACATACACCAGGGCCATCCACAATGACAGCAGAGGCCGGGGAGTGGATGGGAAGGAGTGGCTCCACTAAGGTTTCTAGAAGCAAGAGGCACAAGCTGCCCATTCTCAGGAGATGCTCTGGGGGCTGGCGAGCATGTGAAGAGAAGGCTGGTCAGGAATGTAGGGCCTCAGCTCTACAGTAGGTTAGGCTCTCTAGAAGTAGATGTCTTGCGTGTGGCTGCTTGCTGCTCTGGGCAAAAAGCACAGGCAGATGAGAAGTACTGCTGACCAGGACGTGTGCATAGGCCCCAAGGAATGCTGGACCCCAGCTAGAGCTCACAAAGAAGACCTCAGAAGGAAACAAGCATCTGGCTCAGGAGACAGATGTGACACTAAATAACACATGTCTATGCAGACACCCTGTGATAAGCGGAGCCAAGTCCACTTACAGAAAGTGTTGTTTCTGCTAAGGTTGATTTGCAAGGGCCATAAACTGGATCACACTGTGGCTAGTCTGGGGCATCTCCTACTCATCATGGGGACAGCAGGGCCCTGTGGCTGTCTGTTACATAAATGTTTCCAGCTCAGGAAGGAGAAAGTAGGTCAGTGCCTGCCCCTGGTGCTTTCGGCTCCAGGCTGTCAGGAGTGATCAGTCACTTGGGCCAGTGCCTTTCTGCATCAGAGGATAGGACAGACACAGACATAGACACACACACACACACACACACACACACACACACACACACACACACA